ACGTCAACCAGTCCTCAGGCTTGAGACGCACATACCCACACGGACATGACTATCAAAAGGTGTTTATGTAGACCAGTTATTGAATTCGTTAATTTTTTATTTAAAAAATACTTGAACAAACGGTCTCAGTATTTTGTAGTGTGGTTTTCACACATTGTAGTGAGACAAGAATACCACGGCCAGCAATACGCAATTGAAGTTTGTTTACAGAATAGATATGTCAAACTCAGAGCGATAATCAAAGCTTCTGTTTTACTACTGTGCCGCACCCGTGCCGGTTCTATTGTATTATGATAATTCCTAACATGTGGGGTGTTTGTTACATTCATGTTGACAAAGAGCAGTTAATCGCTGAATCAATTCGTGGGAGAGCTTGCCTGCGCCACGATTTCCACCACAAACCGGATTTGCAAGTGTACGGAGAGAGCATGCTGGAAAGCGTGCTTACAAACATACGAGGTCTTGGGTCTATCATCCTTTTGGAAGAACTCAACCGGTATCGGAGAGTCTCCGACGGAGACTCACTCCAGAATTTGCATCGCGCTCCTCAACCAGCACCAGTAACCATGAAGTTTGCCCTTGGTCTCACACTTGTTGCCATTGCCGTCACATCATCGGCCGCAGCTGATGACAATTGCTCTTTTGGATGCCTCGACGTGTATAAGCCTGTTTGTGGCTCCAACGGTGAGACGTACTCGAACTCGTGCTACCTGCGCCTTGCGTCATGTAAGAGCAACAACGAGATCACCGAGGCGGGAGATGGAGAGTGTGCATCCACGCCCGCGACGTCGGCGACACCCGCCCCTGTTACATCAACCACTGGAAGCACTAGCGGCACCGCGGGCTGTCCGGACGCGTGCCTCGATGTGTACGATCCAGTCAGCGACGAGAACGGCGTCGAGTACTCGAACGAGTGCTATATGAAGATGGCCAAGTGCAAGGGTACCAGCGGCGACGACAACAAGCGCCTCGACAGCCCTGGCGTTTCTACACTCGACGCTGAACGCAAACTCGCATTTGCTCCTGGTTACCAGGGCCCACCGTGCGGTGATATGCTCTGCCCTGACAACTATGCACCTGTGTGCGGTTCTGATGGAGTGACGTACACTAATGAATGCAATTTGGGTATCACTAGCTGCAACCACCCCGAACAAAACATCACGATGGTGGGCGCAGGCTCTTGCCCGACCCAGCAGGAGCACCAGCAGCAGCAATCGTAATTTGACACGGTAGTGAATTTACAATCTACTTATAGACCAGTAGTAGAATTTCCATCAGATCATTTTGTTGGATAAACATGTTTGTTTTCCATGGCAAATGCACATTTGGTCAAGCGAGACCGTGTTTCAAAAAGTGTTCAATCAGAGATCCAATCTCCTATTTTTGTATTCTTCTCTTTAGATTTATTAATAGCTAATGAGCTTCGTTCCTCTCGTCTCTCTCTCTCTCCTCGTTCCTCGTTTTCACGAACTCGTAGATACCAGTAATAATTCTTTGGATATTTATATCCAGAGTCCAGAGTCTTAGTGGCTTCGGAAACCCTCGGATATCCTGTATCATATTAAATTTGGTTGTTTTTGTAATAACTTAATACCTTGAATTGACAAAAGTAGAGCTACGAAATACTAACTGGTGAATGTTGACCCAGTCGGACAAGAACGACATTCCCGCAA